ATAATAGCGCGTTGTGACAAACACCAGATACAGCACTGGGACTTGATCAACAGCCGATACCGCACCGTGACGTCACTAACCAGTAGGTGGCAGTAGTGTTCTTTGACAAACATGGATGCCTCCAGTAAAGCACATTCACATGAAAATTACTCTCAATTAAAAACACTTATTTATTGAACATTATGTAATAATTACAGACTTAAAGTACTTTCAGAAGTTTGGATTCTGGATATGAGCGGACTTCTCCTTTAATGTGACAGGGGGTGTAAAGCTCTTACCACAATATATGAAGTCGGTCACTCTGAGTGACAATAGTGTATTTACCCTTAATCTAAGCAGGTAAATAAGATGATTTATCAATGGAATGAGTATTTCTACTCTTAAAATTAGACAATCGATGCATAATTAATGCTTATTAAGATAAAATGAGCTTGAAATAAGACAATGCAATTGTTTTTTCTTATTTTAACTATAAATAGTGTTGTTCCATTGGCAAGTGTCTCACTTACCTCCTCATTCCAAGAAAAAAATGCATTTATTTTGAGAAAAAAAATGACTTAAGATTTCACACTGCAAAAATGGTCTAGAAATAAGTAAAAATGTCTTAAATCAAGCTTGTTTACCCTTCATTTTAGTAGGTAAATGGGATGATTTGCCAATGGAATGAGTATTTTTACTCTAAAATAAGATTATTAGATAATATCCACTTGAAATAAGACAATGCGGTTGTTTTTCTTATTTTATATGTAAATTCTCTTGTTCCATTGGCAAAGTATCTCACTTACCTCCTCAATTCAAGAACAAATGCACTTAGTTTGAGAAAAAAAGGACTTATTTAGATTTCCATTTTTTTGCAGTGAAAAATCGGAATTGAGCATCAAGGCCTGCAGTGTGAACGTAGCCAAAAACTCTGGTTTTATACAGTAGCAGCCATTAAAAATGGCCCTTCCCAGTCAAACGCCAGCCGAATGGCAGCCCACTTCCCTGCAACTCCCAGCAAAATCCCCACCAACTTCCAGCCACTGCTGTGACCCCCCTCTTGCATATTTTTTTTTACTCTGACTCCATCCTTTCGCTGAATTACAGGGTCTGACTAGGAGATGATGCTTCTCTTTAGATCTTAATGTCCACAAATCATGACAGAAAGAATATTTTAGATGTTTAAAAAAGAAATTATAGGGGACCAGCCAAGGACCCATCAAGGAAAGTGGGGACATTTTGAATGGCTACTACTGTAGATCCTTTTTTCTTTTCATTAGGTCAGAAAACAATTTTTTGTTTAATACACCATTACGCCCTTCAAAAGTCCCTTTTTTAATGGAGATGAGATGCAGACAAATATATCAGATTGGTTTAGATCTGCAGGCTGAACTCTGCAACAACCTGACACTCTTCATTGTGCTGATAACAAATGTTTAACATTTGTTTAAGTTCCAGCAGAGCACAGAGGAGCGCTGACATATCGCCGTAGCTTCTCTGTAAGGAGTCCTAAGCAACAGCATGAAAAGAAGCTTGCTTTAAACTTATATCGTATATTTGTTGAGTAGTTTATGAAGGAATAAAGAGTCTGTAAAAAAAAAAAAATATTTTAATCACAGGGCCTCTGTAAAAGAAGAGAAGCAGAAAGAGAAAAGAAAAGCGAAGACTTGGATGAGTGAAAAAAGGAGATTGATCAGTAAGACAGTAAATGGTTGCCTGCAGGCTGCTGTCAGCCAAGCAGCATCTTTTTCCTCTCCCATCCTCTCACTCCTTCACTCTTTCCTTCACACTCTGCCCTCGGAATACAGTAAATCAATCAATGCACCCCCCACAGCTTCCTGTTGAACGACCTGATATCTATGGATAACATTTGATTAGCATGAAGCTGATAAACACAACAAAGTTTACAAAGTGTAGCCTGGGGGGGTGAAACCCCCATTTACAGGAGCAAAGCGTCACTTTCAGATCAGTGTGGGATCCTGGATGGTGTAAAAAAATATGCCTCAACTTGCTTCAGTGTGAGTGCACTGCAAAAAGAAAAAAAATCTACAGATAAGTGAAGTTTTCTTAAATTAAGTGTATTTACCCTTAATTTGAGTACATAAATAAGAGGAATTACCAATGGAATGAGTATTTTTACTTTTAAAATAAGATTTTAATGCAAATTAAGATATATAAATATCTTATACATACATACATACATATCTATATACATACATATAGATATACATACATATATATATACATACATACATACATACATACATACATACATATATATATATACATATATATGTATATACATACATAAATATACATATATATGTATATGCATACATAAATATATACATATATATTCATACATATATACATACATATATATATATACATATATATGTATATACATACATAAATATACATATATACGTATATGCATACATAAATATATACATATATATATATATATATATATATATATATATACATATATATACATACATAAATATATATGTATATACATACATATATATATATACATATATACATACATACATATATATGTATATGCATACATAAATATATACATATATATACATACATATATACATATATATATATATATATATATATATATATATATATACATACATATATATACATATACATATAAATACATACATACATATAGATATGTATATACATACATATATATACATATATATACATACATACATATATATATACATATATATATATTCATATGTATACATACATAAATATATATATGTATATACATACACTATATTGCCAAAAGTATTTGCTCACCTGCCTTGACTCACATATGAGCTTAAGTGACATCCCGTTCCTAATCCATAGGGTTCAATATGACGTCGGTCCACCCTTTGCAGCTAGAACAGCTTCAACTCTTCTGGGAAGGCTGTCCACAAGGTTTAGGAGTGTGTTTATGGGAATTTTTAACCATTCTTCCAGAAGCGCATTTGTGAGGTCGCACACTGATGTTGGACGAGAAGGCCTGGCTCTCAGTCTCCGCTCTAATTCATCCCAAAGGTGTTCTATCGGGTTGAGGTCAGGACTCTGTGCAGGCCAGTCAAGTTCATCCACACCAGACTCTGTCATCCATGTCTTTATGGACCTTGCTTTGTGCACTGGTGCACAGTCATGTTGGAAGAGGAAGGGGCCAGCTCCAAACTGTTCCCACAAAGTTGGGAGCATGGAATTGTCCAAAATGTCTTGGTATGCTGAAGCATTCAGAGTTCCTTTCACTGGAACTAAGGGGCCAAGCCCAGCTCCTGAAAAACAACCTCACACCATAATCCCCCCTCCACCAAACTTTACACTTGGCACAATGCAGTCAGACAAGTACCGTTCTCCTGGCAACCGCCAAACCCAGACCTGTCCATCAGATTGCCAGATGGAGAAGCGCGATTCGTCACTCCAGAGAACGCGTCTCCACTGCTCTAGAGTCCAGTGGCGGCGTGCTTTACACCACCGCATCCGACGCTTTGCATTGCACTTGGTGATGTATGGCTTGGATGCAGCTGCTCGACCATGGAAACCCATTCCATGAAGCTCTCTGCGCACTGTTCTTGAGCTAATCTGAAGGCCACATGAAGTTTGGAGGTCTGTAGTGATTGACTCTGCAGAAAGTTGGCGACCTCTTCGCACTATGCGCGTCAGCATCCGCTGACCCCGCTCCGTCAGTTTACGTGGCCTACCACTTCGTGGCTGAGTTGCTGTCGTTCCCAAACACTTCCATTTTCTTATAATACAGCTGACAGTTGACTGTGGAATATTTAGGAGCGAGGAAATTTCACGACTGGATTTGTTGCACAGGTGGCATCCTATCACAGTTCCACGCTGGAATTCACTGAGCTCCTGAGAGCGACCCATTCTTTCACAAATGTTTGTAAAAACAGTCTGCATGCCTAGGTGCTTGAATTTATACACCTGTGGCCATGGAAGTGATTGGAACACCTGATTCCAATAATTTGGATGGGTGAGCAAATACTTTTGGCAATATAGTGTACATACATACATATACACACACATATATATATATATATATATATATAAATGAATAAGATGATGTAATTGTTTTCTCTTATTTTAAATGTAAATTGTCTTGCTCCATTGACAAAGTGTCTCACTTACCTCCTCAATCCAAGAAAAAAAATCACTTATTTTAAGAAAAACTGACTTAAGATTAGCATTTTTTGCAGTGTGTGTTCTTCTGTGTGACACGGATCATTTGCATGTGCTATACAGTGTGAGAGTTAGTTCTATAAATATGAGGTTTTCCATGTGGCATTTCAGCGACTGAGGAATAAAAAAAGGGCTGAAGAGCAGAAAGCGGAGAGAGCGAGAAGCGTAAGGGATGAATCCATTTTCCTTCTTCTACTTTCCGACAAAGTAGAGAATAAGAATCCATCTGGTGTCATCAATCTCTTCTTTACAATATAACTACACGGCTCGATGCTTTGCATCTCTATTCATCAGGGAGATACATGCTACGGCTAAGCAGACAAAACCTGCCACTCTTCTACAACGTCAGGGTGATTGATTGAAGCCAAGATCGCCTCCATAAATCTCAACCTCTATAGTTTCCCAGCTCACAAATCACACTTTTTTCCCAGGCATAGATTAAAGAACTTAATGAGGGTCGAAGGCTGATTTTTTTGCTCATATCCAAATATTTGCATGCAGCAAGTTTCTCGCCAAAGTAGATTTCACCGCTCTGACCTACATAGGTTGTTTTAAGCTGAACAATGCCAAAGCAAAGGAGTTCTGGGTAAGACGGCAGCTGTGAAGATGAAACGTCGCTCTTGACAACATTTACATTACAAGCTGTTAAAACCACAAACATCCATATTTATAAATATTCATGATTTCTTATGCTTTTTAAAAAATGCTATCAGCAACAGAGGCTATTCGCCAGCTTAGCAGGAAGACGAAGCACAAAAGGACCAAACTGCAGGCTGGTTTTTCTGTATTGACAGTACCTTGTATGGAATAACAACTGCAGAGCCGCCGCTAATGCCCACGATTGGCAGAGCCGTCTGTGTGGAGAGGAAGTCCAAGATTTGTGCCACTTCTGCCACCTGAGAAATCAGATGGAAATCAGTGTTAAGCAGTATAAAAGAAAATGTTCAACCTTCAGAGGTGTAACTTGTAGAATGATGTTTATGGATCCAGATATATCAACAAATGATGGCATCCCAGAGTAGAAAGAGATTTATTTTGCAACTTATTGGTAGATTTCTAATCTCTCACTAAATAGCTAACACTATGTGGGTTTCCCCTGTTGCTTTGAAGCATAAAGACGCCTGGAAAAGGAAAACATTTTTGCTTAAAATAAGTGCATTTGTTCTTGAATTGAGGAGGTAAAAGAGACATTTTGCCAATGGAACAAGATCATTTATACTTAAAATAAGAAAACTCAGTTGCATTGTCTTATTCAAAGTTCATATTATCTAAACATCTTATTTTGAGAGTAAAAATACTCATTCCATTGGCAAACTATCATTTACCTACTCAAATTAAGGGTAAATACACTCAATTTAAAAAATCTTTAATTATTTCTAGATCATTTTTCCACTGCAAAAACTGCCAAAATTGTAGGTGACCGCAGACAGTGCTGCAGACAGAAGGCCTCTGATTGGTCTAATCTACATCAGCACTACACTATCCATGTTTCCTGTTTGGTTCCTTACCGGCTTGTTTTGCTTGTATGACCGCCATTAAGGAAAATGAGTCATGAAGATGGAGCAGCTAGAAAAACGAGGTGCACGAGAACCCTGGGACCCTTTTCCCACCTTGATCCCCGCTCTTTTTTGCCCTCATATGTTCCTCACTTGTCGCACAAACTTGCCCCCACTTCCTTACCGCTTCGGACATATCTAGACCCACAGCTAATTCTGCAAAAAGCTCATTGCGACACACTGCTGCAGGAGGATAATCAGCCCTTTAGACTTCGACAGACTTCACTTGTAGGCATTGTTGTCATTTTGAGTACACACGGTGTATACAAAACCAAATTTTGTTCTGTACAGCTCTCAAGACATTTCCATTTCTTAAAGTGCAGCAGTGATAAAATTTAAACATAAGATTGAGACAATTTACAGTTTTTCCAACATTCAGCGCTTTTTTTTTTTATTCAGTTCATCAGTCTAATGGCAGTGGGGAAGAAGCTGATGCAGAACCTGCTGGACCTGCATTGAATGCTGTGAAGGGGGGGGGGGGGGGGGCAGGTGGGCTCTCCTCATCCTCTGGAGGAAGTCCAAGCGCTTCTGGGCCCTTTGGACCAGTGAGGTGGTGAGATTGCATGTTCTCCAACTACTTAGATTTCCTTCCAAGATGTAAAAACATCCATGGGAGCTGTGTTTAAGCATGGATTTTAGCATGATTATGTGTCTCTGTGTAACCTGAGATAATAATTGAACTTTATTGATCTCACATTGGAGAAATCGTACCTCTGCATTTAACCAATCCCCTTGGGGAGCAGTGGGTTGTCATCGTGGGGCACCCTGGGAGAAGGGTGGGGTTAAGGGTCTTGCTCAGACACCCACAGTGGCAGTCTGTGGGAGTGGGGCTCAAACTCTGAACCTCAGGATCCCAAGCTCTATGCCCTAACCACTAAGCCGCCACTCACCTAGAGATAACTGGGAAGCTGTTAGGTTTTACCCCACTCCTCTCTCATTTACTCACGCAGAAAACTCCCAAACAACCTGGAAAATTAGAGCATAGCTTCTTTAGAAAATCACCTATGGATGTCCGGGGGGTTAGAGAAGCATCTCCCTGAAATGAGTGTGTGCATGGTATGTCTAAAATGTCTGGGACTCAGCTCCGCAGTGAGATGGCGCTACTCGGACTCGTCTATCCGGAAGCCAAACCAGTAGAAGAGGAACATGAAGCTCACTAGAGTGGTAATTTGGGCAATTTTGTGCTGAAAGCCCTAAAAAGAAAAGGCGACGACGCATTTGGCTACTACGGTCTGTCAATTTTACAGAAAGAACTCCATTTCACTCATTGCACCCCCGCCATGCAGCTGGGTTTTCATCTGAGAGGAAGAAGAAGATGAAGAATCCTTGTTTGCCCACGGAGCGATTTGCCCAGGACCACCTTACGGCGGCCGACTGCATTTCAAACATGTTTGATTTTCTCCCGACATTACGATTCCTGACGTGGAGGTGCTCGTTAGAGGCTGATCGCCCCTCGTTACCCCCTATACACCATATGATGCACCATCAGCCTGAAATTCAGCCCGATTGGAAAAATCTCACGACTGGAAAGTCATTGTTGACCTCGCCTATTCAGCCAGGTCAACAATTTGTCACAGTCTTGGTTTTGTTATGTTTATTTAGAATATTCAGTTTTACTTTGCTCCTTGTTTTAGTGTTTAATTATTATTTTGTTGTTTTCTTGTTAGTTCCTGTCTTCCAGGGTTTCCATTTGTTGTCCTCTGCTGCCCTCTTGTGTCGTCTTTCCCTAGCTCTGTTTTCTGTTCTGTCCTCACCTGTTTCCAATTTCCTCGTTAGCCCTCTCTTTGTCTCTGTCCCCTTTAAAAGCCTCCCTCTTCAGTTCCTGTTTGCTGGATCCTCGTCTAACGTCTGTCTGCCTACCTCGTCTCTCCCTGGCTCCTAGAGTTTGGTATCCCCTGATGTCTCCTTGGTTCTGGTTTGTTTGTTATTTTTGTTGTATTTTTTTATTCCTGCCTCAGTACCTGTGAACCTAATTAAACCCACCTAAATTCCCCACTGCCTACTTGCCTCTGCTTTTGGGTCCTCAATCCAACACCAAATCGTGACACAATTCCCTTTAACGACCCCCTTTCAGAGATATCAAGCCTGAAATTTTGCAGTGTATGCCGAGCTGAAGAGTCCAGGAGGAATGAAACTCTGAGGAAGCTTTAGCTACGATGGTGGAGGAAGGGATGGAGGTGGGTCATCTGAATCGAAGCCGGACATAACGCAACAACTGTACAACCACAGAGTTGTGGATTGGAGACCTTTTAAGATGAAGTCTTTATAGTTTCTAACAAATTGATCAAACTGGTAAAATACTACAAGTACTACAACTGGAAGATGATAATTTAGTATAGTATAGACTGTTGTAAGGATGCAACACATCAAACAACAGTAAATAAATTTCAGATTATTCTTTAAAGGAATAGTACACCCAAAACATGATTAGCCTTAATTTTCTACTCCCCCCCATGCTGAACAACACTCTGGAGTCCTTTTTTGATATCTCAAATGCATCTGGAGATCTGGGAGGCTTCTTGCTGTCTGCTGACATTCAAATAATGGAGGTCTATGGCGCCGGAGACAGAAAGGTCCATAAAGGTCTGGGCGGGCTGGCTGCGCTGGCTAGGTATTCGGGTGGGTTTTCCCTCCTGGAGGCATGGCGGGGCTGCTCTGTTCCCGCTGATCGCGGCGGGTGGGGCTGCGGGGCGGGTGGGGGCCTGGAGTGGCTACGGCCGGCGCGTGGTGGGGGGCCGGGGCGGCGGAGCTGCTCTGGCCGCGTGTCAGGGCCTGGTGCGGGCGGCGGGGGGGGCGGCGGACGTGGCTGGGCTGCTTTGGCTTCGTCCGGTGGGGGGGCGGCGCGGTTCGCTCCGCTCTGGCTTTGTGCTGCCCCTCGGGCTGCTGGGGGGGGTGGTTGCGCCGGCTGCGGTCTGCTCTTCTTGCGGTTTTGCGCCGGGCGGCTTTTCTGCTCTCGGGCTGATTCTGTGCGCGGTGTGTTTCGTTGCGCGCTGTTGGCATCGGTCTTGGTGGGGTGGGGCTGCGCTTTTGGCCGGGGGGGCGTTTTGGGGGGGTCCCGCGGCACTCGCGGCCGGTTCACGGCGGATGCGCATGGGCCCCGGCCGGGGGCGGGGCCGCCTGAGTGTTTTCCTGGGTGGTGCGGTCGCGGTGGGTGTTGCGGCCGGTCGCCGGGGCTTGGTGCTGGGGGGCGGGGCGTGTTTCGGTGCTCTGTGGGGCTGGGGCGTTTCGGTCGGCGCCGTGGGGGGGCTGGTGTTCGGTGCCCGGCCCTACTTCGGGGTGGCCGGCTGCCGGCGGGGCCCGCGGACTCGTCCCCGCGGCTCCCCGGGGCGCCGGCATGGCGGTGGCTGGGGGGCTTCTTCGTGGCTGTCTCTCCTCCTGCCTTGGTGGGGTCTGGTTTCCGGGGCTGGCCCCGCCTTGGTGCCTTCGCTTCTGGGGTCCCCTTGGGCGCCTGGGGCTTTGGGTCTCCCGGCGCTGGACTCAGTGCTCTGGGGGGTGTGCCTCTCCGGCTCTCCACAACCACTATTGAGCATTTTTTCTATGGTTAAAACTTTACATGCACAAGTTCACCCTCACAAACAACTACAGGTGCTAGGCTTCAGGTACTTAGAGATTCACTTCCAAACAGAAACCCCACATTCATATCTTCAGGTAACACAGAGTACATGTCAGACTTAATAATATTACGTTAGCGATAGTTTCAAGGTGTTTGCTTTATTGTATATCTCGTACCATGTTTTTTGGTTGTGCTGTTTTTTTGTTTTTTTTTGTTTTTTTTTTTTCCATCTCATTACAGGTGTTGAAGCAGACTGAAAATGTTTTGTCATTGTCTCCTTCCTATCTCCTCTTTCTTTCATCTTTTGTCCTGTTTTTTTCTTTTTCTTTTTCCTTCTTCTTCTTCTGTTTTTCTGCTCTACTTACATTGCAGTGTCCATATGAACTGTAAAACTCCCTGCATAATTATAATAAAGCAATTTATATACATGAAACAAGTGGAGCAGTATGGCAATTGCCATACCGCTACACTTGTGAAAGTAAAATCTGTTGGGCTCCTTTTGGCATCAAGACAATTATTCTTATTGCCACCTTGCCAGACAGGACACTGTAGAAAAAAAAAAAAAAAAAAAAAAAAAAAAAAGAAAGGTCCATAAAAGTCCACAAAAAACGTGTCTGTCTCGGGGTGTACTATTCCTTTAAGGGATTTAATAAAAACGTTTAAAGGCATCATAATAAGTCAGTTGCTAAAATGAACCTTTATGTCTTCATTGTGATTTCCTCCTTAGAGCAAAACGTATCTTACAGATTGGATCTAAATAATGATTTTTCTGCGTTTCAGTGGGTTTTTACTCTTTGCTTTCTGCATTTAGTTTTGTAGATTAAGGGACGATCAAAGGATTTTGTCTGATTTTTAACTTGTCAGAGATGAGATCATTACTTTAAAAAGGAGTTCAGAGTTTTCCCCAAGGATGAATTGATGCAAAACAGAAATTCTCTCTACTTCTAAATCAACTAAACACTAATATTTAGTTCAGTATTACTTCACCATGCAAAGGAACTAAATCCTCTTGAAGGTCATCAGCAGTTAAAGGGGCCTTTCTAGGAATCTTATAAGCACTTTCCCCCTTAAACTTTCAATGCTTCAGACCTTAACTTGACCTCCATACTTCCTTAATTGCATCATGAAGAGAGAAGATAGCTTCCTGAAAGTGCTCTGCTATATTTCTGTGGGCTCCTCCTTCTCCTTTCTGGGCATCAATTGCTTTAATTCTTGAAGCACTTGGCTGCATGCAGGGCCAACGGCTGATGATTGCTGAGGTGAAGTTTGAGGTTAAAGAGGATTTGCTAAGTTATCCTTTGTATCTAGATCGGAAATAGAGACGTCAGTGTCTTTATTGAAGTGGTTTAAATCAAAATATTATTCATTAATCTGGCATTGATGGTTAAAATAATTTTGACAAATGACTGATGTTATAGAATTTGAATATCAAAGCTAATTTAGTTAAAAATTAAAGTCTAACATTCAATTCAATTTAATCTAATAAGAAAATAAGATTAATAATTCATATGCAGGTGAAGATTCTCAGTCATCCGGGTCAGTCGTTCCAAAAAAGTTAAAAAACAATCCACTGGACTTTGTTTCCAAGTTTGAAGATGGTTTGCTTCCCATCCAGGAAGCTTTTTCAATTCAAAATGAAAGGGGGTCGTTAGCCTGGCTGATTAGGCGAGGATTTCTGTTCCACTGTAAAGCCAGGGCAACTATTCCCTCTAACGACCCCCCTTTCAGAGACATAGACAGGTATGGGGCATTGCAGGCTAACAAAGAACCCAAACGACCCCCATTCCGAAGGGGGGGGACCTGTTCATCCGTTTCTATTTGCATGTTTTCTAAACTAAAACCAGGCTTTGTTGGGCTGCTGGATAAAACCTGGAACTAAACGCTATTTCTGACATTTTGGATTGAAAAAGCTTCCTGGATGGAAGAGAAACGTCTTCAAACTTGTAAAAAAAGTCCAGTGGATTGTTGTTGTAACTTTTTTGGAATTCATAAGGTGTTTGCTTTTCCATTGAGATGTTGTAGATGTCGATGCTGTGGGCAGGAAGGATCCTCTGTAGAGGCTTCCACCGGATCTGAAGAAGCCCTGACTGAAGACACTCTGTTGTTGTTTTATAATCTTCTGAAGTGGATGCTCACTGTTTTCTTCACTTTCTTTGTGAAAGAATCTCCAGAGATTCTAGAGGACTTCCTAAAACCTTCTGTCCTTCTTTCTTATCTTGTTGAGTTTTTTTTTTCTTACTCAATTGCTTTGATGCCGTTACCCTACCAGGTGCTGAAGAGGTCACACTCTCAGCTTCTGCTCTATCTTTGCTCCCAATGCATTTGAAATAGAATAGAAAAAAAAACTTTATTGTCTACCATTCACAATGATGGCAGAAATTTGCCCTTGGCTTGCTCACACACGAAAACGTAAAAATACATTAAAAAACAATTAGAAAAGAGTTCATTGCCAACACAAGAGCAGTAGGAGATACACTTTATCAAGGGAAAGGAAGCAGAACAGACTGAGAGACATTTACAACTTGTTCAGCTCCTTAAAGGAATATTACACCCAAAACATGATTAGCCTTCATTTTCTACTCACCCCCATGCTGAACAACACTCTGGAGTACTTTTTTGATATCTCAATTGCATCTGGAGATCTGGGAGGCTTCTTGCTGTCTGCTGACATTCAAATAATGGAGGTCTATGGCGCCCGAGGCAGAAAGGTCCATAAAAGTCCACAAAAAACGTGTCAATATTCCTCCATACTGCCCGTCCAATGTATTCCAAGTGTCCTGAGTGGGTAGCATCCAGAATTTACTTGAAATGAAGTCATTTAGAATGTTTTTAGAGCATAAACAGTAGTGTATAGGATTTCCTGAAAGCGCGTTCACGAGCCTACGGAAACCGCGGCAGACCAAACCAGATGAAAGTGCGCATTCAGCGTCTGCTCTGCCGATAATGCAAGCGTAGAAGAAGAAATGTGCTGTTTACCTGTGCAAAGAAAGAAACGACGAAAGAAAAATGTCTGAGGACTTCAGTGTTGAGGAAGAGCATGAGTTCTTTGCTGAGCTGAATGCGCACTTTCATCTGGTTGGGTCTGCCGCGGTTTCCATAGCGTCGTGAACGCGCTTTCAGGAAATCCTATACACTACTGTTTATGCTCTAAAAACATTCTAAATGACTTCGTTTCGAGTAAATTATGGACGCTACCCACTCAGGACACTTGGAATACATTGGACGAGCAGTATGGAGGAATATTTACACGTTTTTTGTGGACTATTGTGGACCTTTCTGCCTCGGGCGCCATAGACCTCCATTATTTGAATGTCAGCAGACAGCAAGAAGCCTCCCAGATCTCCAGATTCATTTGAGATATCAAAAAAGTACTCCAGAGTGTTGTTCAGCATGGGGGTGAGTAGAAAATGAAGGCTAATCATGTTTTGGGTGTACTATTCCTTTAACTGCAGAGGGCACTAATGAATTTCTGTCTGTATCTCTGCCACAATGGAAGGGAAAGTGGATGGCTATCATCATCTGTGATCTTATTTCTGCAGAGGAATCTATCAGGTCCTGGAAGTCAGAGGTTTATAGTAAAAAGGAATGGTGAGAGTACCGTCCCCTGTGGTGCTCCAGACCAATTAATCAGACAGCTGAGCCTTCAGTCTAACAAACTGTGGTCTGTTTGTCAGGTAGTCTTTGATCCAGGTGATTGTTGATGCCTCCACCTGAGTCTTCTGGAGTTTCTCACAAAGGCGGAATCATGTTAAATGTTCTAGAGAATCAGGTTTGGGTCGTGTGGTGTTGTGTACTGCCTGTGGCTGTACTTTATTGCTACCTTAACCTTCTACTAACTATTAGGGGTCTATCAACTTGTTGTAGATTTTCATGTTGATTGGCTGATTGATTTGTTGATTGGTTTATATTCAGCAACATGTTTTATTTTTTTCTTATTACTTTTTACCTGAGCATCTGAGCCTGAGCCCACATCATCCTCAAACACCACCCCATGCAGCTTCTCGGTTGCCATGGTGTCACACAGGTGCGTCAGCAGGTCCCGGGGGTTGGTGTCGTTGACCAGCACGGTCACCGGGCTGACTACCACCGGCAGGTCCACGAAGTTCTCCCCGCTAAGCCGACCCCTGACCTCGCTCTGGTAGCTGGAGCCACTGAACACCACCGCCACGTTAATGGAGGAGTGGACGAGCAGAGGCCTAGCATGCAGCGAGGCGGCGAGCAGGATGAGCAGGAAAACTGGAGGCCAAGGACGGCGAGGAGGAATGCCCATGTTGGCAGCCTACTGCCTGGAGAGGAGGAGAAGCAAAGAGAGCAGCAGTCATTCAACAAGCTGGTTTACCTTTATGATATTTTCAACATGAATCCTAATCCATCAGAACACATCCACCCCATATTTCTCTCCCCCGTTTGACCCTTTTGAACGGCAGTATTAGCCTTGAATTGCGACTCTTGTGTCATCAGGAAATCTGTGCATGTGTGTCAGAGTCAGTGTGCATGTAATCCTCTATAATCCAACCCCCAGTGTCATGACTGTAATCACCTCTTCATCTGCACACATCTCTGGTTCACCACACACACACACACACACACAGCTGTGTTTTCATGATATATGGGGACATGTCATTGACTTGCATTAACTGTATATGACCTAACCCAGACCCTTACCATAATCCTAACTATTCCCAACATACAACTAATCCTAACTCTAACTCACAGGACAGAACTTGACCATATGGGGACCAGTTAAATGTCCCCATATGTACCTGGAAAGGCTGGTTTATGCTCAGAAACCAGGCGTGTGTCTCGCAGTTAATGCAGAAACCCCCCCTTCAGCAGACACTTTGGTGCACCTCTCCAAAATTTTAGGTGACTGCAGACAGTACCGCAGATAGCGTTACAGGAAGGAGAGAAAGGAGGCCTCTGATTGGTCAATTCTACCTCTGCTCTACACTATGTGTATTTCCTGTTTGGTACCCAATTGCAGAAACTCTGGCTGTAGTACAATTCACAGCGCCATCCACAGCTCGGACTCTATCCCAGACTCCATGCAGGTTGCAGGTTTGTAGCTCTGTGCGACGGTCTGTTGGTTTGCACCTGAAGCCAACGAATGCAGCGCTACGGCCGGTGTTTGGGGAACACGGGTGAACTGTGTGTCGCCCGGCGTTGGATGAGGGGTTGTAGACGGCAAACAAGCCCGTCAAACCGACACACGGTCCTAGCTAGTTCCTGCTTTTCCCTCTTGCGTTGTGGCGTGGAATAACAGCGCAGACCATGTTTCAAAATTGGGCATCAATCAAAAATATCTGAGTCATACCTGCAACAAGCTGATTGTGACACACTGCTGTGTGAGTATACACTTTAATCCCCACATGTAGGATATCTTACAAAATACTGCACCCACATTGTAGGTAAAACACACACACAGCTGTGTTTTCATGATATATGGGGACATGTCATTGACTTGCATTAACTGTATATGACCTAACCCAGACCCTTACCATAACCCTAACTATTCCCAACATATAACTAATCCTAACTCTAACTCGCAGGACAGAACTTGACCATATGGGGACCAGTTAATTGTCCCCATATGTACCTGGAAAGGCTGGTTTATGCTCAGAAACCAGGCGTGTGTCTCGCAGTTAATGCAGATATCAACCCCCGCCCCCCTTCGACAGACACTATTCCCAACATACAACTAATCCTAACTCTAACTCACAGGACAGAACTTGACCATATAAGGACCAGTTAAATGTCCCCTTATTTTCCCTTTAAAGCCTGGTTTATGCTTAGAAACCTGGCATGTGTCTTGCAGTTAATGCAGAAACCCCCTCTTCAGTAGACACTTTGGTGCACCTCTCCAAAAGTTTAGATGACTGCAGACAGTACTGAAGATAGTGTCACAGGAAGGAGAGAAAGGAGGCCTCTGATTGGTCAATCCTACATCCGCTCTACACTATGTGTATTTCCTGTTTGGTACCTAATGGCAGAAACTCTGGCTGTAGAGCCGTCCACAGCGCCATCCACAGCGCCTGGCACAGCTCGGAAACTATCCCAGACACCATGCAGGATGCAGGTTTGTAGCTCTGTGACGGTCTGTCGGTTTGCACCTGAAGCCAACGAATGCAGTGGTACGGCCGGTCTTTGGGGAACACTCACGGGTGAACTGTGTTTCGCCCGGCGTTGGATGAGGAGTTGTAGACGGCAAACAAGCCCGTCAAACCGACACACAGTCCTAGCTAGTTCCTGCTTTTCCCTCTTGCATTGTGGCGTGGAATAACAGCGCAGACCATGTTTCAAAATTGGGCATCAATCAAAAATATCTGAGTCATACCTGCGACAAGCTAACTGCGACACACTGCTGTGGGAATATACACTTTAATCCCCACATGTAGGATATCTTACAAAATACTGCACCCACATTGTAGGTAAAACACACACACAGCTGTGTTTTCATGGCATATTGGGACATTTCATTGACTAACATTCATTTTATATGGCCTGATCCAAACCCTTACCCTAACTATTACAGACATAAACCTAATTGGGGACCCATTGAATGTCCTCATTTGCAGCACTTTGGGCATGTAGGTCCTCACAGTGAGGGATATTTGACGAAAGTTGTAGCTCAAACAAACACACACTGCAAAAAAACGAAATCTAGATAAGTAATTTTTTCTTAAAATAAGTGCATTTGTTCTTGAATTGAGGAGATAAAGGAGACATCTTGCCAATGGAACAAGACCATTTAGATTTTAAATAAGAAAACACAATTATATTCTCTTATTTCAAGTGCATATTATCTAATTATCTTATTTTAACAGTAAAAATACTGATTCCATTGGCAAACTATCTAATTTACCTACTCAAATTAAGGGTAAATACACTTAATTTAAGAAATTTTTACTTATTTCTAGATCGTTTTTCCAGTGCACACACAGCCAGGCAGACTGAGAACCTGCACTGCAAAAATTATCTCAAAATGAGTAAAAATGTCTTAAATTAAGGGTATTTACCCTTAATTTGAGCAGTTAAATAAGATGATTTGCCAATGGAATCAGTATTTTTACTCTTAAAATAAGGTATCTAGATAAAATGCACTTGAAATAAGACAAAGCAATTGTTTTTTCTTATTTTAAGTGTAAATTGTCTTTTTCCATTGGCAAAGTGTCTCACTTAAATCCTTAATTCAAGAAAAAATGCACTTATTTTAAGAAGAAATGACTTATTTAGATTTCATTTTTTTGCAGTGTGCACATCAGTTCTGGCATCTTCTCTCTACCTTCATCACTAGAAGCAAATTACATTAAAATAGTTCAGACAGGATCTCCACATGACTGGATTTCACCATTTTGTCATGAGAAACACAAGGAAAGGCAAAATTCTACTTTAAACATAAAATCAAAGCAATGATATAAAATCATTTCCATTTATCATTACATTTAAAACTTTGGACTCGTTTGCAGGAATTAACAGAAGGAAAGTTTTAAATCTGAGTTGTAACTGTAGAAAAACATCTGTGGTTTGCTCCATTTTAAAAAGGATTTAATGTTTTATGGTTTAAACCAACAACAGTTTAAAATTTTACTTGGAGGAATTGTTTTTTGTCACGATGTCTCAAAACATCCTCTTTTCTATAAAAAAATTAACTCTTGGATGAACAAAATTATATATGAATTTAGATTTTTTTTTTGGCCATATAGGATTTTTTTTAATTCTCTTGACACATTTTAATTTGATATCTGGCATTTAAAAAAAGGTAAAATGATTCTATTTAAATTTTAAAGACTGTATTATTCATTATATTTTCATTCTTATTCCTATTTTCCTTTTGTTTCAGTTGGTTTGTCTGATTTGTCCAACTTTCCTGTTGTCCATCAGACAGACATTTATATATTTTTTAATGCAAAACATAATTATGAAGCAGCGTTAACATTATCTGCAGGAAACTAAAATTATTTATTAAAATCTGATTTTAAGTATAACCACAGTTCAGTTTTGTTTTGTTGCCACACGGATGCGTTTATTATTGGATGTTTTTAACATGCGGGATTTTGACCCATCTAGACATAATCCTCCAGCTCTACAATAACAAAATCCTAATTCCTGCTTTGTTGTCAACAGTGAAGAGACATTAGCAGTGCTGTATGGGGGCGTGTTGTTTCTGCAGTAACTGTTCTTCGGTTGGTGTTTGGTAGGATTAGGGCTTTGATTTATTCTTATTCAGATACTGTTTCTGTGCTATCGGAGCATCACTCATGCTCGTGTTTGTGTGATTATATTTTGTGAAGTGAGATGAAATGTCGTTAAATCTAAAACCCAGTGAGTCACAACAACAATGTTTGACAACAACTTTCCACAGACGCACGGCCTGACACAGAAGAGCGCCCTCCTCTGGAAAAGACTCTGTGGTACATCTACACCTTATGGACAAAGGACATTCTTTGGAGGACAAGAAGGTTCACATTTTGGACAAAGAAGACAGGTGGTTTGAGAGGGGCGTGAAGGAAGCCATCTTTGTTAACCTCTTAACATCCACCTCCTCTTGAGTAATCATCGCCTATTTTGCATACCCAAATGGAAAAGCAAATAACTTAGGAACTGTAAGCCCAAAATTATAAAATTGGGTGAGTAGAACACAGACCAAGCTGCATCAGTTCAAATTGAGTTTTTTTATATTCTCAGAAATGATAGGTCTTTCTTGAACAGCAGTAATAAAGACATTCTTCAGAAAAAGCAGGTTTCATTGTATTATTTAGGATCTACATCACGTCAACCACAAATGCAGAACATTTCCGACCTCTAGCTGTAACAGTTCCACAGCTGTGGGGTTTCGAACTTTTGGTGTCATCTTGGAGCTGTGCGCAATGGCTCCACCTGCTGGTAAAACCTGTGGAATTTTGTGCATTCTGAATTATTACCCCCACTTAAAGGAATAGTACACCCAAAACATGATTAGCCTTCATTTTCTACTCCCCCCCATGCTGAACAACACTCTGGAGTACTTTTCCTGAAAGCGCGTTCACGACGCTACGGAAGCCGGCAGACCAAACCAGATGAAAGTGCGCATTCAGCGTCTGCTCTGCCAATAATGCAAACGTAGAAGAAGAAATGTGCTGTTTACCTGTGCAAAGAAAGAAACAACGAAAGAAAAATGTCTGAGGACTTCAGTGTTGAGGAAGAGCATGAGTTCTTTGCCGAGCTGAATGCGCTGGTTTGGTCTGCCGCGGTTTCCATAGACTCGTGAACGCGCTTTCAGGAAATCCTATACACTACTGTTTATGCT